CCCCCAAAACCCCAAAACCCCAAAACCCCATTTTGGGTTATAAATCTTAAAATTTAAATTTAGATGAAAATGAGTCATAATATTTATGAAACTCAGTGCTATGTCCCCAGATATATCTCCAGAAGTAAGCTTGCTTTGGATAATACAATAGGTCGCAAGAGGAAGTCCAAAGAGAGCAAAAAGAAACCGCAAGTTAGTTTTTGTGTTAGAATTCCGAAGAGAATGAGGGATAAGAACTTCTATAAGAAGGGTCAGCAGAAATAAATTAGGCCGGGATTCTCTGAAATATAAGTTTTATGGCAAAGAGAGGATTGATATACAGTAGGCAGGAATCTTGTTAAGCTGTATCTTTAACATTTATGTGGCTTCTAGAATATTTAAAAATATTTGAAATATTTCTAAAATTTACCTATGACTGGTATCTTTAGATATCCTCAGATACACTTAATGCTCAAGAATATGGACCGCCAGTACAAGAAAATCACAAACGAAATGTCTCTGCGTAAGCTTTCAAACTCTTTTTCCAGTAAAGGTTTAAATAATATAGTAAATAAATTGGTTAAAAGAAGACCTTAACAATTTCTCAAGACAAACCAAGAATTCTTTCTTAAGACTACCTAGAAGATCAAGAATGCTTCAAAACGCTTCAGAAATAGTCAAATCATACGACAACCTTCCTGAAAGAAGAAAACAAACCTCCAACTCTAAGTACAATCCCTCAGCCTCCAAATCAGCCCTACTCCAAGCCAAGAGCGAACAATCTTTAAAACCCCACTACAAAAGTAAGAACCTATCCCCACCAAATAACCCCTAAACCCCAATCACCCCTAAATCCCTTACACATCCCCCCTAAATCACCCTAACCCCCTTCTTCTCAAACCCCCTCTTCTCTTCCTCCACCACACAAAAATCCTCCTTCCCCCTAAAACTCCCCCAAGCCAATTCCACCATTCAAACCCCCATCTCCCCCTCCTTCTTCCCCTCTAACCTCACTGACCATACCCTCTATAGAGATCCTATCTCCTGAACTACGAAGACTGATCCCTCTTCCCCAACTATAGTGTAAATCTGTTATAAAGTTCAATTGGTTGTGCAGGCTGAGGGGTTTTGGGGTTTTGGGGTTTTGGGGTTTTGGGGTTTTGGGGTTTTGGGG